CAGTTTGAGCTCGCACTCAACAAGCTGGACAGCAAGGCTTCAATGAGGCTGTGGAAAGCCTTTGAAACCAGCAAGAAGATGTCAGGAGAGGAGGAAAAGTACAAAGAAGCAACCAAAGAAGGTGTGGGTGCTCTGAGGAAGAAAAGAAAGCTGCTCTTTGGCTGGGTGGTGGATGGAAAAAAAAACAGGAGACAGCTTCAAGGAATGCTTGGAGCAAGTGAGCCTTGTCAAGGCACAGACTGTCCTCAGCACATGGCTGACACAAGCCCAAGCAGTGAACCACTGGGGTGAAGAAGAGTTGAGGGAGAGAGTGAAAGGAGGCACTGTCATTGCCAAGAGGGACCCTGCTGATCGCAGGTATTGGCTGTTCAAAGCCAACACCCAAATGGAGAAGACTGAGGTTGCAAGGCACAAGATGAGTGGGGCCACCTACAAGGCCAAAGCTGACAAGCAAAGTGTGATGGACATGATGTCAGCTGAAAAGCTGGAGCTGCTGGGTGAAGAGGACTTCCTCATGGGCGCAATGTCAGAGGAGGAAGGCTCTGAGGATGGGGATGGAAACTTGCCAGCAGACTTGGCTAAGGCCCTCGGTGAGAAGATTCCAAAGGACAAGCCCAGAGACAAGGGGCCAAAAGAAGACAAATGGGAGTGCATGAGCCAAGTGCCACATGGAGAAAGCAACCAAAAGGTTGCAAACAGACTGATGGCCTTTAAGACAGAGCTGACCAAGGACCTTGCCAGCTTGGAGGCTTTGTTGCACAGTGGCAAGGGCACACTGCCAAAGCCTTTGGTCAAGGATGCTGAGAAGGCTGTCCAAGCAGGGCATGATAACCTGGGCAAGGTGGCCAAGGCTCTGAAGGGGCCAGGAAAGAAGGGTGCAGTGGCAGCTGTCTTGCAGGATGCTTTGGCTGCTTTGAAGGGCTGTAAGTCCAAGAAGCTCCAGCTGGCTAAGGCACTGAAAGCTGACTAGGAGGGCTGGATAGCCTAGCAAGGAGGGAAGCCCAAAGACTTTAGACAAGGAGTTGTTGGTGTGATTTGGGGCTGCCCTCCAAGCTTAGTGCCTGGGAACCATGAGAGTTTTTGAGAAAAAGGCCGCATGTATGGGCTGGATAGCACCGATAGTCTCATGGGCTCTCACTTGCTTTTGGGCTGGATAGCCCCTTCGCTTGCTTTTGTGCTGGGTGGCCCCAATAATTTCTTGGTGGCTCTCACTTGCTTCTGGGCTGGATAGCCCCTTCACTTGCTTTTGTGCTGGGTGGCCCTGATAATTTCTTGGAGGCTCTCACTTGCTTCTGGGCTGGATGGCCCCTTCGCAAGCTTTTGTGCTGGGTGGCCCTGATAATTTCTTGGGGGCTCTCACTTGCTTCTGGGCTGGATAGCCCCCTCACTTGTTATCCAGCTTCACACACATCTCAATTGCTTTTTGGGCTGAAAGCTTTTCAATGAACAAGCAAGATCATCATGCCAGCAGCAAGGCCTCTCAAGGGATGGCAAACCCTTGCCCACTCTGGGGTGTGTTGCTCAGGAAATTTGCCATAGGCAAAATTTCCGCAGCAGAACTGCAAGAGATATCCAGTGCAGCAGTGAAGTCTGGAGCCAACTCACAAGAGATGCTCGGGCTGCAAAGCTTGGGCACCATGGGGCAAGTGAAAGGCAATTGCCACAGAGACTTATGCAGGAAACACTTCGGTGCCTTATTGTCCCCTCAGCCTTGGAAGATTCCTTGCCTCCTGCAGCAAAAGGAAGAGGGACAACAAACCAGCAAGATTTCAGATTGCTGGCTGTTACTGCCTCACATGTGGACAGTGGCATTGGAAGAGAATGACCTTCTGCCTGCCTTGACATGCCAGGATGAGGAGCTTGTCGTCTTCTGGAAAAGCCAAAAGAGCAGCCCACAAATGACCAGTGCATTGTGGAAGGAGCTGGATTTCAAGCATCCTTCTCGGCTCCCCATCCCTTGGCTGCTGCATGGGGACAGTGCGCCATACACTGAAGCAGACAGCCTGCAGGTGGTATCTATGAGGCCTTGCGCTTTGAAATTAAGTAGGCTGGGTACCCCTGCATTTGTATGGAAGCTTGCTCTTGGGTCAACTGTCACATGGGCTGGATAGCCCCTTTACCTAGCTTCTTGGGCTGGATAGCCTTTTCAAATTAGGCTGGATAGCACCAACAATCTCCCACTCTCCAACTGACAGGTGCATGCTCTCCAAAAGAAGTGTGTCAGAATCCCAGCTCCTGTTGGGAGCTGTGCCCAAATCAGCAGGAACCAAGGAAGGCTGGTGCACCTTGATGGAGGAGCTGGCCTGGAGCTTCAAGGTCATGTACCAAGGGGCCTGCCCCAAGAAAGACAAAAGGGGGGGGAGCATGGATGCTCAGAAAGGGAGAAGGTTCAGGCCAGGTTGGCTGTGGGGTATCACAGGCGATTTGGAATGGTTCGCATCTGAATTTCAATTTCCATTTCCTGGCAACAATTATATTTGCCCTTACTGCCTGGCAGACCAGAAGCTCAAGGATTCCACAAGGCCTTTTAATGATTTCAGGCCATCTGCAGCTTGGAGGGCTTCAGCTCTGACCCCAGCCAAGCTTCAAGAGGAATATGGGGCGCATCCCTTGCTCAAGCTGCCAACTGCCAATGCATTGGCTGTCAAACTAGATGTGTTGCATGTGCTTGACCTGGGGGTTGCAGCATATTTGCACATGGGTCTGTTCTCATTTCAGTGATGAACCAGCTGGGTGGGAGGACCAGAATCTTGATTGAAGTTTATGGGCTGTTTTGACTGGGCTGGACAGCCCTAAAGGGTAGAATCATGCATGGGCTGGAAAGCCCCATCACCTGACTTGTCTGGCAAACACTTCCAAGCAAGGAGAGGCAAACCTGCAAGCCTTGAACAAGTTGCTGGTGAGGCTTTATACAGAGCTGGAGGTCGAAGCTTTCAAGAGGATGAAGCACCTCAAGTTGACAGACCTGCAACCTACAACAGAAGAGTTCCCTTGCCTCAGGCATGTCAAAGGAGCCAAAATCAGGGCCTTTGCCCCTGTGTGCCTAGAGCTTTGCAGGCTCTACAAAGACAGCAGGGTTGATAAACACAGGCTAGCCATGGTTTCCAGCTTGAACCAGCTCTACACCTTGATGGGAGAGCACAGCTGGCAAAAATGGGGCGCAAAGCAGGGGGGAGCAGTTTTTGGCAGCCACCAACACCTTGCTGTCCCACTATTCCTTTCTGGCTAGGGCTGCAATGGATGCAGGTGAGTACATGTACAGCTTGACGCAAAAGCACCATGTACTGGTGCATTTGGCAGAGCAGGCACAATATGGACACCCGTGCTATGGATCTGAATCCTTTATGGCAGTCGCAAAAGCAATAGGGGCTTCTTGCACCAGAGGAACACCAGCTCACAAAGTGAGCTCTAAGATCCTCCAAAAATTTAGGTGTGTGTTTCACCTCTTTTTAGATGGCCACTTTGACCTTGCAGAGGGAGAGTCAGAGGATGAAGAGAAGTGAGGAAAAGGGTAAGCATGTGGGCTGGACAGCCCTGAAATAAGCTTATGTGGGGTGGGCTGGACAGCCCTGAAAGGGGATGTGGGGTGGGCTGGACAGCCCTGAAAAGGGGGGTAAGCTTATGTGGGGTGGACAGCCAGGTGGGCTGGACAGCCCTGCCAAATACTTTGCCTGCAGCTCTTGTATGTCAAGGGGGGAGGGCACCTCAAACCCAGTGCTGCTGGCAGAAGGGTGGTATCAGGATCCAAATGAGGACTCACAGGTGCTGGTTCCTCCAGACACCCCAGCTATTGAAGATGAGGAAAGTGCTGAAGCTGAGGAAAGTGCTGAAGCTCAGGAAATAGACTCCAAAATGGAGCATCCAGAGCAAAATTAGCTCAATTTGTACAGGCCTAGGCCGATGCTTTTCTCTTCCGGAAGTCAAAGAGAAAGCACCAGCTAGGCCACCAAAGGGGTTGCCAGTCATGGCCCAAACGTTCGAGGAGCACAGCCAAGCACTCGCTGTCGCCGTCGACCAAGCCATCGGGATGGGACGGCATCATTGGTCGGATCTGTGCCACGAATCATGGGTGAACAACACGCGGGAACAAACCGACGGTCACTTGCTTGGTTGATCTTTCTCAGCTTAGGATGAAATCCACTAAGAAGTCCAACTGCCACACACCAAGAATCACCATGAAATGCATATAGAAAGTTCATGATTTATGGTAGCTGAGGACTGGCGTGACCGGTCCTCAGTTTCATCGCGCGGAACTTCCACTCTGCTGAGCTTCGAGGTTTCTGCTCGTCTTCGTCCAGTCAATTTGAGCTCTTCTTTTGCAGGCTCCTCACTGTTTTTCTTGAAAAGGTTGGTTGCCGGCACATCTAACTCCGTCCAAAGTGTGTGCAAGTGGATGGTAGCTGTGTGGGTGTTCTCCTCCACCCCCGACTTCTGTGGCTCCCAGTGTACCCTGATCAGCATAGGCCACAGAACTCCTGAACCTTCACCCACCGGGTTCCTCATGCTTCTCCTCTGATCAGCTTACTCATAGCCGGTCCACACAGCAGTCGGTTGTTCAAGCGGATCGAGCTGCGTGGTCCGTCCTCCATGGTCCCCCTCAGGTATGGGCACGTTCTCCTGGTTGCCATGTTCGAAAATGAACCGAGGAGATTCTTCCCAAACGTCCAATGCCTCATGCTACCTCATTCTTGCCCCATCTAGCAGTCATATTCCACCGCTATAGTCTAGAGGTAGAAGGAGTCATGACTGGACTCCCACCAACTCCAATCAAACAATCTTGACAACATCTGCCAAGGAAAGGAAGGAACGTCCATTAAACGAAAAAATCACCTGAGAAGTCCAATACATACCCTACATATATCAATAAATTGGATATATCAAGGTATATCCCACTCCCTGGGCCCAGTGGATCGCTGATTGCTTTAGGTTGCAAAGCAATCTCTAAACATAGTGGATCCTACCTTACCTGTTAGTAAAAAGGGACACCCAACCTGCTCGGCCTGAACGGCCCGGCCGCAGGCGGGACTCCTGAGCTCCAGGCCCGTCCCTGCGACGGGGTGCCAGGCACGGCCGCACGAAGGAAGTCGCAAAGGAAGTGGCCCAACGTTGGAAGAAGAAGGAACTGGATGGACAAGATGTTCATGGACCAGTTCATCATGAAACAACCAGTTTAAACACGTGTTCTGACTGAACTCACCCAGAAAAAAAACAGAAAAACACACACACACGCACACCTCTTGTCAAACCAGTTTGTCTGCCTCTGCGCTCATTCTTTTGGTGGGTTCGTTTTCGATCGCAGTGGTTTGATGAGAACAACATAAACACGACTGGGCAGCAGGATGACGCATTCAAAGGATCCTCACACTTTCAGGCACCAGCCAGCCACTTTCTTCTTCCAAAGTTGAAGAATTGATGGTGTTAGGTGAGTTCCTTCATCTCAAGAGGATGCTCATGAAATACCAAAATAACATGAACAAGTAATTTTGATTTAGACCGTTGATTAATGAACACCTCTCCATCTGGAGATGTGCAACCATTCTCGTAGGTTATAAGGCTTTGTTAATCCACAGTCTACATTGTGGGGCCCTTGGTTTGGCAACACATCCCTCGCACACATTTCACCATCTTTGCAACTTGCATGCAGGTCTGGTAGTGTAATGAGCATCTATGAGCTCGACAGCCTTGTGCTCGACAACTGTCCAGTTTTGGCTCTAAAACCGCGAGAACGCGCTTGCTCGGGGCCTTCACCAAGAACCCAGCACAGACATCCCCCCAAACCCAACCCCAAGGAGTAGGCCCATGTCAAACGTTTGATGGAAGAGGGCAAATCTCCTCATCTCCTCCCATGTACAGAGATCGACACCTGTGTTATGGGTTTTTCCCGGTGAGTCCCTCATGCGGCTTCAACCCCGCCTCGCCATGGGCGCGAAGCGTCGGCCGGTGGCGTAGAATGTGTCGGGTTGGGCGGCAAGCGAAAGTGGCGGTGGCGGTCGTTTCGAAACCCAGAAGCGATCGTTGGTGGCCTGGCTGGACGTTTTGAATGAGGCCTTTTGGGGGGCCTTTTTTGGGCCTTTGACAGGTCGACTAAGTCAGAATAGCTAGGGTGTCATGTTTGGGCTGCTTGGTGCTTTGGAATCTCACATGTATTCCGAATTAGAGATCATGAGACACCCAATTTTGCGCGTTCGATGACTCATCCTTGCTATATAAAACAACTCAAGGTCCAAAAATTGGCCCATCTCTTGTGGATACTTTCTTGCACCTTGTCACTGGGGCCACTGAACATGTATCAGTGGCAACAAAAATGCCCAAGCCAAGTTCTTCCTATACTTCCTTGAACCATGCCCAAAAAGGGCACGTCACAACACCTGTCAGTGACCAAAGACACAACAAACACAACAAACAACTCACTGATGACTCACAACAGCGACATGGTCTGATGGTCCTTCCGTCAAGAAACTCCAAGTTAGGAGTGCAATCTTTGTTAGCCCCGATGGGCCGTCGTGCGATCATTCCTTCATGCCTTTTGGGTCTTTCAAGCCAGGGCCGAAAAAAAACAATCTTTGACTGGGCTGAACATAGACCTCAAAAGTGTTGGTATACAGTGGTTTCAGAGTAGATGGCGCAATCCCCAAGTTCGGTGGTTTATATGGACCCCCCATACAAAAAACATCTCTGGGTGCCTGTGCCATCTATTCTGAAAACACTGCAAGGCTTGGTGTGCCCCAGATGTGTTTTGCATGTTATCTGGATGACTTCAACCACCTTGGGGAATCTGTTTCCAGTCGACTCCAAAGCCAAAGGGGGGGCAACGTCGTCCTCCTTCTGCTCCTCTAGCTGGCCTTTCATGGCCTACGCTCGGCAAAAGTGGAAGGAACAATTTGTCCAACCATGGAAGGAACACGCCGGTTTTGAGCTCTTCTGGGTGAAGATGAGGATGAGCCCATCATTCCCCCACTCCCCTCCATGGAACTGTCATATTTGCCGAGAAAAGGCCACGGGGGTTGGGGTGCCTGTGGGGTTCAGTTTGTTAGGCACATATTCCATACATGGAGTGTTTGGTTATCTATTGTTACGGCCAAATTCCCAAGAATAGGGATCATCTGTCCATATCTTTCCTGTTCTCAAAATAGGATATAGGCATGGATAGGCTCTTGGGTCCGACAAACAACGGCATCTCTTCGTGTCCGTCTTTGGGGAGGTCTGGAGCCAACACACCAACCAAGAAAGACCTTGAAGATCTTAAAACCAGGTCCATACTATAGGGCAAACAGGTCACAGGTCTGCCCTTCATGATTGAACAACGATCCATTTCATCCCTTGGTCTGATCATGAAATAACTGATTTCAAGTCTGCCAATTTGAACCCCCAAAGATCCCCAAAGATCATCCGGAACCTTGACGACGAAACGGTGACACAGAGAGACGAGTTCCGGCTGTGTGAAAAAGGGGAATGGGGCGCCGCAAGGGTGGGGCTGCGACCGGATGTCCGACACCCAGGATGCTATTACGACACTCTCTGCAAGAATCATGGTCACGTGGATGGCGCTCCATTGAATCTTTAGGCGTCCCTCCTGTCCCAACCTGGTGTTTGGAGAAGTCAGAGAAGTCTCCTGAAAAAACAAACATAAGAAAAGGTGACTTATAGAGGGTGGTTCGAACGCTTCCAACCTGAGTTTTTGTTGTCCTATATCTCTCTCTGATCTCAAGGGCAAGTTCTGGTTACAGGACACCCGGAGCTCCATGAGAAACTCCACATGGCTTACTGCGCCAAGCACGCGTAAGCAGTCCGCGCATGGTGACGTCGGCCTGCCAACATTCATCCTGGAAGCAAACCTTCTTATCCTTCTTCAAGGTGACGACCTGGCGGCCATTGAATCATGAAAGACAAATTGAAGACCCTTCTGGTGACGACCCTTCTGGTGACGACCAACCCGTGAAACCACTCGGGTGTGTATAAATATTATGGAACACAGAACCCCGAACCAATTGGTTTTGGTCCATTTCCTTTCCCCCCGGGGTTCTTTGGGGGGTCTCCCTATTTTGATACACCGTCATTTAGTTTATAAACCCAATCAAGGGGATATGGAGATGTGGTGTTTCAAAACAAACCAGGGACATTCGACACTCGGGTGACCGGGGTGACCGCCTTTGGCAGACGGGCCGGACGCAACCTCTGCACGGGAACATGGGAGTACAACCTCACTGTGCCTTTCGTTGGTTTGGGGGCAGTCGATTGGCCAAAAGGCATCAGCCAAAGCTGAGATAACCAACCCAATCATAAACCAATTATGGAACACTCCCACGTCTATCCCCGGTTGACAAGCCTCGCACCATGTTTTTTCAGCCAGCCCTCCCGCAACCGGGTCAGAATTTGCCAAAGACATCGGAAATGTTGGCCCCGTCACAAAATCCCTGCGTGGTTTTTGGCAGTGCCTGACATTGAGCATTTCTAGTTCACAACCAAAAGGACAAATTTTGGGTTCACAACCAAAAGGCCAATTTGTTGGTTTCACCAACAATTTGGCCACTTTAATAAAAGGATTGTGTTCACTCACTCGAACTATGAGAATCGATGCAGCAAAAAATACTCTTACTTATCTTCATTAAAAAAGTGCGTGAGTATATCATCACCCATGTTCAGTCTTTGACTGCCCTCTTCGCATGAACCAACCACATGGACAAAAGGTGGTTCCCGAAACCAACAGTTTGCAATTAAAACATGATTTAATTCTCAAAAGAGCATTTCCCCTTATTTGTTGCACCAAACCGAACGTAAACATGTTGTTTTTAATGATTTGTTCAGTGTTGCGGTGTTGCGCAGTATTTGAGGATTGAAACCAGCCCTAACATCACTTAAAACAAATATGTTATGTATTTGTTTATGTGAAAAATGAAAACATCATTTTAATTCTGTCTTGATGGTGCCCAAATCACATTACATAGAAATGCCTATAGTATCTCCAAATAGTTTGTGGGAGATAAAGAATCATTAACATGTTTAAACCAAATCAACACCTAATCACTCCACGTATGGAATATGTGCTTGCATTGATCCTTGAAACAAGTGCCTTACTAGTAGTAACAAGGCACTTGACATACATGGAGTGTCTGGGACACGGACTCCACGGGCACACCTCGCCGCACGTTGCCTCGTCTTCGCCACGGAACTCCTCCGGGGCTCTAAGCGCGGGCGTCACTCCGTGCATCGACCTGGGCGCCACAGCCAATAACACCATTTATTGATTTGGCAGAGTATTCCAAAGCTTGCGTAAAACGTCGCAAATACAAATAAAACATGACAAGTGTCGTCCTTCTTGAGCGGGGGTAATTTATATATATATATATAAATAGTTTTACATATTGTAAACATACAAAACATAACATTACATTACATTGCCAAATGCATACTCACACATACATACATACATACATCCATACATGCATACATGCATACATGCATACATACATACATACATACATAAATACATACTTACATACATACTTGCATGCACACTCCACTCCACTCCACTCCACTACCCTACGTTACGTTACGTTACATACATACATCCATGCAAACATACATACACACATACTCTTCTCCAGATTAGCTCCTGTACCCAAGTCCACCTGCAGCGTACGAAGACACAACCTCAAAGCAACTAATGAGAAGAACGCCGGCCCTAGCCAATTAGCGGCCGCCATGAGGCACTCAAACATGAAAAGCACTCAGACATGAAAACGCGACCATGCGCCAGCTCAGCGAGGTCTAATACGCCACGCCGTCCTCAGATGTAGGCACAACACTTCTGACTAGAACAGCGCTTGCTGCTGGGCTGGGGTGCTGGGCTGGGGTGCTGGGCTGGGGTGCTGGGCTGCAGCGGCCTTCTCTCTTTTCCGCTTGTTCTTTGCCCTCTGGTGAGGTGAAGCCTTTCCTTGCATGAATGGAGGGGGCAGCGTGCCCACCGGAGAACAACACAAATTGAAACGCTTTGAGACTTGTAACGCAAGATACGGAACCTGAGCGTGTGAGCCATTTGGCAGTGATCCCCCCAAAACTCCTGTTTTCGTGGCTTCATTTTGAAGCCAGAAAAGCGGATGGCCTTCCTGCGCTCGTCCTCAGACTCCGCGCCATCGTGGGAGGCCAACTCCTAAAAGGAGCTGCAAGGCTGCTTTGCCACCGCCCGGCGGGTGTGCCCCTGCGTGGACCTTGGAATGTCTTTAGGGTCCACAGTTTTTAGTCGCCTGGTTGGGTGAACCCGTTTCAGAGTTCGCGACTCAACAGTTCTGACATTCCTGCCAGTAAGTACTGCCATGATTCTTCGCTTCGTGTTGCGCGAATGTGAAAGAGAAAGCCTCCGACGTGAGAATGAACACAGGACTCGAGCCCTGATCCAAGAAACACCCAGACCCAGGATGGAGCAGGCACTGCGCAGATTGCCATCGATGGTCCTGCTGCAAAATAAAGAGACCGGCCCAGGACTTTCCGCACCATCGACACGGATGGTGGAAACCTTCCTATACACCTCGATATCCCAACACTTAGTGAAGCTGAAAATTTGAGATGCCATTACATGCATTACATTACATTACATTATATTACATTACATACCCACGACGTACACACATACAAATACATGCGTATATATACACATACACACATACTTACATTACATTACATTACACTACATTACATTACCTTACATCACAATACATACCCACGACGTGCACGCATACAAACACATGCACATACATATATATATATACACAAAGACTCACGTCGGTTTCTCGTCTTCTTTTTGCAGTGCAGACCTAGTTTTTTCAATGTAAACAGTCAACCGAATTAAAAATCCTTAGGTCAAGGGCCCCCATGGCCCGGCTCCCCCCCACAATTCCTCGCCAAACCGAGGTAATTGTGAGCCAAAGAGCCTAGGGTAGTCCTGGGCCCCGCCAGTCCAGGGTACGTCCAGGCCACTACCCTGCTCTTCCCTGATCTTGTTCATTTTTATACC